GTTTTCTCGGTCACACAATAAACGAGTGCTACTTATTATCATTCCCAGTTTGTAGTAACATTCCTGGAATACCATCCGCACTTGCATCAGTATGAACTTCAGTTGTAGCGTTTGGATTATAGAGTGCCAAAGGAGGTTGTACTAATTCCTTTTTCAGAATTTCGAAAGATTCTTTTTGTTTTGCTCCCCACTTAAAATTTCATTCTTTTAATTAGCTGAGTTAACAGTTTCGCTTTTACAGCATAATTTTGAATAAATCTAAAAAAACTCGTCAAACCCAGAAAACGTCTAATTTCATGCAGAGTTGTCGGTTCGGGAAATTTAGAGATTACTTCTACCTTTTTTGAGCCGGATTTAATACCATTTTTATTAATAATGAATCCTAAAACTTCTACTTCATGTTTCGCAAACTCGCATTTGGATAATTTTAAGGTCAGATTGGCTTTTCAGAAAGCGTCAAATACCTTGATTAATGTTTTGGTCATTTCTTCCCAAGTCTTAGCATATACAAAGATGTCGTCTAGATAGCATAAGACATCCTTATTATATAACGGCCTAATACAAGGTACATTAAGCGCTGAAATTCCGCTGGGGCATTAGTTAAACCAAATATCATTCACTCAAACTGAACTGTGTTATCAGGTGTGATAAAAGCGGTTTTCAATTCGCTTCTTCTGTCAACTCGATTTGTAGGTACCCATGGACCAAGTCTAAAGTACTAAACATGCTACAATCATGCAGCTGGATGGTAAGTAAGTCATCAAGTTTGGGGAAGAGGAAATTTATCTTTTATTGTTTGATTTTAAATCTTCTATAATCAACAACTAGTCGATTCTCACCAGTCTTTTTTACGCACCAGAAGCACAGGGCTCGCATATGGAGAACGTTTCTGTAATTATACCGTGTTCCTTTAACTCATCAAATATTTCTTTAATTGCCTTCCTTTAAACCGCATTCGCTTTATAAGGTTTCATACATACAGAGTTTGAACCTTCGATTTCCTTAATATCCATTTTTGTTAACCGCGTGAATCCTAACTCTAATATGTTTAATGCAAAGCAATCTCAGAAATCATTTAGCAAATTAATGAGATCTTGTTATTGCTGTTTCGTTAAACTTTCGTGAAATTTAATTTATTCTAAAGTTATAGGTTTCCGTTTTACATTTGCAGCATTAACATTTAAAATTTCTAATGAATGATTACCATTAAGGAAACTAACATCACTTGAATTCAATTATGAATATACTTCGTCCACTAGCTCCTCTTTTGCGATGTTCTGGTTTTCCTTAAATGTTATTTCCTTATTTCCAATATTGACAATTGGTATAATAGTTTTAACTTCCATTATTTCCAATAAGGAATTAAAATTTCCCTCATTTCCCTGAATCACAATTAGTCCATTACTGATTTCTTCAGTTTTTACCCTTACAAAAGTTACGCTATTACTTATTGTTTTCGTTGTTTCATCTGATTTTAATTTAACACATGAATTTTCTTCAATGCAATCTGATCCAATAAATGGATAATCTTTTGCATAACCGATATGCAAAGCATCACCGACTCTAGCATATGCAATATGTGGCAAATCTAAGAACTTTCGTCCAACCAATAAATAAACTGGCTGAGCCGAATCTGGCACAATTAATACTGGAATATCTTTTGCCACTACATCATTAGTTTTTAAATCCACAAATGCCGCACCAAGACTTTTTACAGGACAGTTTTGATTTCCGAAACCAAACAGTTCCTTCCTGCAAGATGAAATATTTATTCCCAGGCCTTTCGGAGCGATTCTTTAAGTAGACATAACGACGCTCTCGTGTCAATCATTGAAGACGCAATACGAGAACTGTTAATTAAAGCATTTCTCAAGTACATATCAGCTGCTACAAAAGAGTCATCAAGACCGTGAACGTTTAATGTAGCTTCCTTTTTAGTCTTAGGGCAGTTTTCCTTGAATGGCCTTTCAATCCGCAAATTTTGCAGGGATAGGACAATCTTTTGTAATATGACCAAAGAGATTACATGAAAAATATTTGGGATCACGTTGATCATTACGAGTAGAAGAGTTAAATAGTATTTTTTTTTCATTATATTTATGCATAGGCGAACTATCTTCGCAATACTTATACCTTCTCATCGTGTCTCTGTTTTGGAATCTATTAGGGTTACTAACATTCACTACTCTTGAAGTATTTTTAGAATTATTCCAAGGCCATAACTTTTACTTTCATTGTTTATTTTTAGTCCTGATCGAACGTTTTCGTAGTCCTAATTTTCCAGTTAGTTCATTCGCGTTCACATTTTTAGGCCATGAGTCAATAAAATGTTCCTTCATAGAATTCGGAACCTGTCTTTTCAATTGATCTGTTATAATTAATTCTTTTAAAGAATCGAAATCATTTGTTTTTAATCCTGCTAACCATTCGTTAAAATAGTTACGAAATTTCGAAAACGAAATCTGTCCATGTATTTTTGAATCCCTAATATTATTAACAAATTTCTGGCGAAATTTTCTGGACTTAAAACGCTTTAATAATAAATTCTTAACAAATACGTACTCATTAGCTTGCTCTTCAGATTCTCTGGCGATCAGTTGTGTGATCTTGAGAGGAAAAAGTCCTAATAAATGGAAAACATAATCATCATCTTTTAACCCCACCCGTTTGGCTTGATGTTCTAATATTACTAGGAATGAAGATATTTCTCCATTCTTTAAATCGAATTTTTGCATAAGGCTTTTCAAATCGATACATTTTTTGTTTTCTCATGTGGCTGTATTTTCCGTTGACGTTTCGGGCATTATTTTATTTTCGTTTAAAAGCTTTAGTTTTTGTAATTCAAAATTCCTTTGTTTTTCTCGATCTTCAACTTGTAACTGTATTCGTTTTTCGCGTTCTCGAAATTATGCTTGTTTTTCTAATCTTTCTTCTTCTTCTTTCTTAAGTCTTTCCTCGATAATCCTTTCAAAGATTTGTTTTACAAGCAGTTCGTCATAATTTTTACTATTAGCGATGACGTTTTTATTCGTAATCCACAATGGCGTCTGGTGAAACCGTTTCCACCACTTCCGTCGCAAGTTCAACTAGATCACTTTTGCGTCCCTTACCAAGAAAAGGCATCTTCAAGGTTAACTTTTTATATACGTTTAATCGTTTAATACTTATTATTAATACGTCCAATAGCTTTCGAAAATACGTTTAAAACTTTCATATATACGTTTAATAGTTCACTGATACGTTTAATAACTTTAGAAGAGAGTAAGAACAAAACATTTACCTTTTTCGTTTTTGCATCAGACCTTCAACGGCGTTCAGTCACTATACATTGATATTGACATCGGCAGTCCCACTTAGGAAATTGTTGGATCCAGGACTTTTTTCTTACATCCACTATACGTATCTTTTTGATTTTGCGTTATTATTTAGCAGGACAGAAATTCACAACCAACATCATCGAAATACTTTATTCTACTGATCTTTAAAAAAGTGCATGAGTAATTAATATCGTCTATCGCCGTAGTTACATTCCTTATGTCTCGTTTTTTTTTTTTTTTTTTTTTTTTTTTTTTTTATTACAAATGCTTTGAATATCTTTTAATATCATAACGCCATCTGGCGGTATACTATGGAAATTGCTAAGGAAGGAAGATTTTTTTCACCATCTTAATTTGTGAGTCAGAAAAATATTAACTTTTAATTAATGTGAATACGTAATTTTGGTGTGACATATATGTTATTTTACGTCGTAATAATAATGTGGTAGGATATTGATCAGTTAATCCAATATTGTGAATTAGAATATTCAAGAAATTAATAAATGTTCTTGATTGGTATTTTAAGTTGCATGTGTTTCTTCTGTGTATTAACTTACTCGGATCTGTCATGTCACTCCATTTGTTTGAGTCGTAACGCTTTTAAGAAACTTGGAGATTTTTACTTGGGGTATTGTTAATAACTTTTAATTGGATAATCACAACGTGCCCTTAATTTTTGTACTAACCACGTATTTATATTTATTTGAATGTTGTTTTTTATAAATTGTATTGCTTTTTAGGTGCGAGGATTGTATTCAAACTATTGATTGATTTTTCTTTTGTGGAACTGATTTGGTTGTTTATGAATATTTCTTCTCTGGTGTTTGTGAGGTTGTTAAATTAATGAAACTGAATTGCTGCTCTCGAGTTAATTATAGAAATTATTGAATATGTAGTTTAGAGGAATTTAAAAAATGTTTTTGTTTGAGATATTCTATTTTACCCGAGCACCAGCGAAGATTTGTTCCTCCTTAATTTTTCAAGTTCAGTTTTTTTTTTCGGGGGGGGGGGAATTGGCATTGCTTGAATTAAGTGATTCCAAGAAACAGTTTATTTAAATGTTATTTGGGATAGATCAATCACTCAGTTACTCCGCTCCATTACACTGTATAGGATTTATAATTTCAGTTTATTTTCAGGAAGAATTTTATTATTCTTTATTTTAGTAGTTTTGTCCGGCACCAAGTTAAGTTTAGTTAAGTTCAGTCAGACAAGTTAAAGCTTTAAAAATTTATAACCAATAAATTTTCAGCTATTTAACAACGCTGCTTGGAATCAGTTAGGAATAACTTTTTTTCAGAAGTACAGCCTTTAACAAGTTTCCATTGCTTGCTGAAAGACAGTATTGAAAGTGACCTTCACTATCAGGGGATTTTCTTTCATGTTTCGTAGAAAGTCCGCCACGAAGGCATCCCCCATAGGCAGATAGCTCTCGAGTTCTTTGTTTTAATAAAACTAAACCAAACTTCTATACTATAGGCTTTGGCGTACTGTTGGACCAAATGTTTGGATAACCATTGTGTCTATGTTTAAGGAAAATAAATGTTTACTTGTGCCTTTTTTGCCGTGCCTTTGTATATCTGCCTGTTCAATGACATTTGTCGGTGAGAAAAACTGTTTTCTTACCATTTTTAAAATGCCTTTTAATTATAAATTTTATTGCACTATTTTTGTACATTGCAGAAACGAAATGGAAGCTCGTAAGAAAGTGTTGGCTAGCGACAGCAGCGGAGCAATGTTTCTTGATGGTTATTTAAAAGAAATTGAAAGACATAAACAGAAGAATATCAAAAGCACGTTTAATGGTAATAAACTGTAAAGCATTTCATAAAATTCAATTTTTGTTAGTATCATAGCGATAAATAAATACTGATGTTTTTCTTTAAATTAATATGCTACATTTTTCAAAGGAAGCACCTTTTATACGTCTTGTGGAGTAAAACATCTAATTTACATAATAATACAAAAGCGCAAATAAAATTTTTCTCATTTGGGTTGTTTCCCCAAAGTCTCAAGATAATATTTTTGGAATTTAAGGCTCAAGATAATTTTTTTCTATCTTTAGGGCAAAATACTAATTAAGTTAAAGCATATGTGTTACTACCGTGTGAACTCATTCGTTTAGTGGCACTAACTCTATTTTGATGGAAAATAAATTGATGTTGCAAGACTCTGTTAGAATGAACGGTTGGCAATGTTTGCCGATAGATGGTATCATAAACGGTATTTTTCTAGAGCGAGACACAGTCGTCGATCATCTGAGGCCGCAAAATGACGCTTTGAGCTGGCTAGTTTAAAAGCTTGTTTCATGCTCAAATACTGAGATATGTCTTTTACACCAAAGAAAGTAATTTTTATGTTCAGCTAGCGAAAATAAATTTTATACAGAAAATTTTAATCAGAAGACAAGGAAGCTCTGCCCTATGAAGTCTAGTGCGAACAACTTTGAAAACAGGTCTTATAGCTACAGCGACCGAAATACAGGAAATATTCGGTCAAACCAGCTCAAGGAGAATGCGATTTGTCTTTAGGGTTTTAGTTCTAAGTGCTCTGGAAATACTGCTACCTTGAACATTGAACGCGTCTAATATATCTCCTTGACGTTTTGCTTACTATCATGTGATGCGGAAGGAACAATTACCTATTTGTGATCTTTATACAGAAACGCATTTCCAGTGTGTTTTTTCCTTGACGTGGTCTGGGGGATCCCTCGAAAGAGGGCAGAAGTTACGTCCCTACCAAGTAGAGGTGATCGTTCAGAACCCCAGGGTAGAGGTCACCGAGAAGAGCAAGCTTAAAGAGTATGCTAGTATGTTAGTCATTTCTCTACTCATCATCTTGCTCAGTACAAGAACAAAGCAGGATGACACGATGAGATAATATGGAGCCAGAGATGCAGCAATAAATACCCCGACAGCGAAATGCAGTCGGCCAGCGCTCCACGAACTGCAGGACAGTCCAGTGAAGTTGGCATCTGAAGACAACGGCTCTTCAACGATAACCTTAGCGTGAATGAAGCACTTAAATATGTGACCTTCCAAAAAAAGTCGGAAAAAAGGCCAATTCGAACAAACTAATAACATCTAGGACTATTCAAGAGGGTTGTCACGACGGAAAACCCAATTGACGTTAGAATGGCAAAACAAGGACACTCCCTATCTAGTGCCAGATTTCAAATAACGAACGAGTGCAAGAACTTGTTAGCTATCCCAAAAGATACTTAACTTCTGACGAGGTACGACATAAAATAGTAAAAGACATCGATCCTGCAAGATTGAAAGTAGGCTTTCCAAGCAGCCAAATTGTTAAGAAAGGAGGAGTAGTAATACAGTTTAACAAAAGGGAAGGACTAGAAATAGTAGAAGAAGCCATTAGAAAAAATAAAAAGTTAAATCAATAGTAGAAACAGTCGCCCAGAACGATATAGTGTTTAGGAGAGCCTACTACGGTACCAAAGGGCCCAGTTTCGGAGAAGACATGGATGTTTGCAAATGTATAGTGTCGGTGCGACATGCCGGCACTCTAAATATGCAGGGAGCCGAAGGTCCTCTCGTGTGGATCGGTAGAAGGAGAGAGGGGGGTGGGAGAACCCCGAATCCCCCTTCCCCCCGGAGTGCTCTCCCTCAAAATTGGTGGTGAGAAATTGAAGTCCAACCTTTCTTCGAAGTAGGCTCTAGCAACCATCTCAACAAGACAATAACAACAACAATATTGGAAATAAAAAGACCATAGAAAGTAAACCCAAAGATAGTCATTTACAATATAAACAAAGGCATAGAAAAGAAAGAGTTAAAGGAAGAACTTGTGACTTAGAATAAGGAACTAGATAACGCCGAAATAGCTGTTTTCTTCTGTATGAAAGGAAGATTTGAAAAACATTAGGTATCCTCAATTGACCCCATTACGTTCAAATACATAATGAAAACCAAACAAATCAATGTCTAATAAACAAGAAACAGCATACGAGAATTCCTACGGCTAACACAATGCTTTAAGTGTCTGGGATATAATCATTCAAACAAAAAATTGTAAGAACATGAATAGCACAGTCTTCGGATCTGAGGACGATTAGAAAAGACTACAAAAATAAATTCCCCATATGCGTAAACTGCCAGAAGGTAAACGTTAAATTTAACACAAGTCTCGACATCCATCATTAAACAGACAGAAAGTGTTCGTACTGTATAGAAGAGCTCCAAAGATAAAAACAGCGAACACATTATGAGTAAAATAAAAGTAATACAAATTAATCTTCACCACTTTAGGGGTGCAACTACATTCTTGAGAGAAAACCTTAAACTAAACTCCGAAATTCAAATAGCATGTAAGCAGGAACCATATGTTCGAGACAACCAATTTCGTGGCTTTTCAAAAATATATAGGACACTTTATGCAAATAAATGCACCAAAACAGCAATCATACTAAAGGAACAGGCGCTGCCAGACCTAGAGAGAGCTGCCAGCCTAAGTACAGATACCATCACGGCAATACGTTTTGAAGTAGCATATCCCATCTTAATAGCCTCAGCCTACTGCCCACTCTCACAAGACGCAGAGCCAATCCTGGCCTGAGAAAATCTGACAAAGACCAACGACAATAATCCAATAATCATTAGCGGTGATTTCAACAGGAAACATCCAATCTGGAGTTTCATCCAACTAGATTTAAGGGATCTAAAAATAGGAACAACACAAACATCGGTTGTTATTTGTGAGTCAAAACCTATGGATGTAAGTAGCAAAGGTATCGATGCGTATTAAAAAAATATATAAGAGCAAATCTAAATTTCCGTGACACGCGTCATAATGCATTGGACAATTTGTTTTTCATGTGCTGATCTGCTGCATTTATATCGGTTGCCTTTTTTAAGCCTGTCACGTTTGGTACTAATACCTTACATATAACCGTCAAAGTAGCTATAATAATCTCTCCTTTCACTTTACAATACTTTCTCATTTGGTTTCTTTTGTGCATTTTCAGACGCGATAACTGGATTGTTCTCAAATCATGACTTTATTACAATTTTTTATTTAAGTTCTTGCTATAGATTTTGTATAGATTGATTGCTATGGATCTTGTTATAAATTTGAGTAAGTGATCTGTTGTGAATTCTTCAGACTATAGCAGAGATGAATATTTTATGCGCGATATTTTGCTATGTATTTTCATAAAAATTATTTTGTAATTTCGGTAGTTACATGATGAAGATTTTTTTTTTTAATTTCTTGTGAAACTTTAGCGAGGTACGTTTAGAAAATTTCTAGACCTAATCTGAATACCTCTTTGTTCGATTCAAATTTTTTCAGAGAAATTACTAGTGGGCAATGCTCAAGCTATTGTTATTGGAGGCAGTGAAACCACAAGGGCAGCTATTTTGTGGTTACTGTTGGCCATGGTCACATTTCCTGAAGTGCAGAAGAAAGCACAAGAGGAAATAGACTCAGTCTTAGGAAAAGATGGAAAAATCACATGGATAGAACGTGCAAAGTTGCCTTACGTCAATGCGACTATAATGGAAGCCCAAAGATGGCAGTCTGCGGTGTCTTTAAGGCATAGGTAAGTTCGTTACCTAAGGTAATTAGCTTTCACAGTTCTTTTCCTCTTCAAGAGTCCTAGCAAAGGATCTTCTAAAGAAAATAATTCTTCCTTCCAACAGAACAGAATTGTTTTCAGCTGAAGAAATACTTAAGATTGCATTATACGGAATCCTAGTAAATGCGAAATTCGGGCTCCATGTTAACCGTCAGGAGGCTTATTGCTTGTGTTAATCTCAAGCTCAGTAACTATGACGTAATTGAAATTTTAAAATAAACCTTTTTATTGTAGCTTTAACATACAAAACGCAGGGATCAATCATCCTTACAAAATCACTCTCCAATAACTGTGGAATTTAAGCTAACATAAAGTATTAAAATAACATTTAAGATATTAATATCCAGATTTCATGCCAAAGTCCCAACCTTTGCAAGCAACATGACTAGCGGAAGGTTAAAGTCGATTTGGGCAATTCTAAGACCTGGGCAAGAAATAGTACAATTATCAGCGTCGCTGCCCAAAGCTCACTCACTTACTTCAGGAATTCTGTTGTTATATGCACATTCACCAGTTCGCATTCGGATGAAAGTCGGCGGAGGTAGAATAAGATAACGAGTTAATTTTTCCAAAAACTCTTAAAATATACTATTAAACTTTTTCAGTTAATTTTAGAGGCAAAACTGGGGAAATGTTTTCGTGTTAAAACATCGCTGTCAGAGGAATAGTTTTCAACTACAGATGGGGCCGACCAGCGGCCGAGCGGTAAAGTCGCTGAACACTGGTAGTTCGGTCCGAGGTTCGAATCCCGCGAACGGGCTGGCTGCATGGGCGTTTTCGTGGTTTTCCCCATGGGTAACGTGTATACGAGCCAGTTTCCCTTAGAAAGTCCTCCGCGAAGGCACCCCCTTCCCTTAGGCAGATAGCCCTCGTGTGCTTTGCCATAATTAAACACACACACACATACACACAACTGCAGATGGGACAACCCGATTGCATCATTGTAATGAATAAACTTTATTTATGAATAAAATAATTATTTTGTTTATGTTATAATGTGTATTGTATTTCAATTCTCTTCTTTTCATTCTTTGGATTCATGCTAGCGCTATAAAAAGAGATGTTCATCCATCTTCTTTGAGAAAGTGCTGTGCATCCTGCATAGTCAAGAAGTACAATAAAAAGATAATACAGTTTTTTTGACATAAAGGCTTCATATATTTTATTACGATTCGTTGTCCCTTCAAAATAATGCAAAAGATAATGAAATATTCATAAAATATCTCTTAAACTATGAAAATAATAGCGATTTAGTAGAACTGGGTATTAAGAAAAAAAAATAAATAAATAACGGAGTTTTCCATGAAATTCCTGCTTCAGTAACCTGGTATTCTCTGCCTTTCGAATGAATTAAAAAAAATAATAATTTTTTAATCAAAGAATAGCAACACACCTAGAATTCGCCAATAAAAGTTTAATGTTACAACTTATTCCTCTTCGTCGATGTAAATTTGCACAGTACAACTGATGCATTTCTTCAACCGACAGTGTAGAACACAGTCGTTCTTATCTCGATCGAATTTTAATTTTTATCTCTATTTCTGATCTTGCAATAAAAAACTTTTTTTGCCATTCAGCACAACGGCAATGAACGTTCGCCACCGAAACCAAAAATGAATTCAAAATCATTCATTTTATTCCCTTCTTAAAAGACCAAAGAAATATCAGAAATATATTTTCTGAAAATTAGCTATTTTTTCTCAGTTTCTCTTTCTTCCTCCAGGTTTTTAAAGTACTAGAAGGTTTATTAATCTTGATCCTCACTTTTGGGTAGAATTACTTCTGCGGTGCACCGCTTTTCAAAACAAAGTAGAATACATATGGATGCATTAAGATGTATATATATTATACATTATAATAATGATAAAATATATATTTCCAAAATGCATAATATCGACGACGAATATAATAATATGTGATATATATATATTATATATATATATATAATATATCATATACTGTTATACATATGATAATATTTAAAGAAAAGGGAGCAGTAGGTAGGAGTGAACCCACAAGCAGACTGGTAAACTGCGATCTCAGCAAGAGTATCGAAAACTTTGAGAGGCATTAAAAACCATCAAAAACCTTCTGATGCAACTTTAAAATCTAAATCTATAGTATGGTTTTTAACCTCACATGTCATCCTTTTAATCATCACTTTTCTAGGCTGAGCATAATGTTCTGCAAGCGTTTCTTGCTGAGAGACAGCAAAATGAACGTGTTATGTGGAATGTGGAGTAACTGTTTATGAGCCTACTGTTATTACTACCTAATGGTGATTATTTCCGAAGCTATGAATATATGAGGGGTTATTAAAGTTTTAAAATTAGAAAGAAGAATGCATTTTTTAACATTTTAATGTATGTTTTCATCTACTATTAATTTACTCTTTTGCTATTGCAAAATGTCGAATTTTATTCAAAAGCATTATAATATAGCAATGCATGGTGACCATAATATACAGAGTTTTATTAAACGAACTTTATAAATTTTGTTTACTATACTCTCTGTGAATCTCTGATAAGAAATACAGTAATTTATTTCAGGGTCCGATATTTGATAAAAATAAAACTTTGCTGCCTTATCGGAGCTCACATCAAGATTCGTCCAAAAAACAGTGTATTGGTGTTCTAAGAGGGTTCCGAACAAAAGAATTGTTCAAAGAGAATTCGAAAGAAGGTTTAATGGGTTCGAAACATAACTAGTTTTGTGCTAAACTTTGGCTTCGGATAGATAATCAGACGATTTATCGCCTCGTTTTAGTCTTCCAGTGATCAGCACAGATCTCAGAAGAAGTTTTAAGATACTGTAAAGGCTCTTATTTTTGCTATTTTCGCGAGCCCTAGTCATCGCGAAAATTTAAACCTCGCGAAATACTTTTTTTTCCCACCGCCTCAAATAATAATAAAACAATCAGAAATTTTTCACTAACCCAAAATTTAATGATTTATTGCACAGTTACAAACTTTCTTTCTTATAACTATTTTCTGAATAATATACAACTATATTTCTCGAATATAAAATAAAATTAATAGAAGACTGCTCATTCACTTAAAATACTATTTATATCAACTTCTTTGAAGCCATTCAAAATTATCTCATGTTTGGCTTCAATACCGTTAAGTACGCCCACAAGACAAAGAAGCGTGAATCGGTTTTAGTGGTAATATTCGCATGTTCCACAGATTGTTTTTCCTCTAGAAATTAAAGCTCATTAGAATAACTCTCAATAAACTCATTCTTGAGCAAACGCTTGAAATCGCCATTTAGGACGGGAATGGGGGGGGCGAACGAACTTTTCGGACAAAAGGAAGTTTCTGAAAATGCTTTATGCAAAAGATGCACTTTCGGAATTTTTCAACTTTCTCAACTTTACTTAGGTACTTTTGAAATTTTTTAACTTTCGGTTCTGCTCATATTAAAATTTGGGAAATTTTCAACTCGCGAAATCACCGATATATTCATTTTCGCGAAAATTTCGCCCCGCGCAAAAAAAGGCCTTTGTAGTAAACCTTTTTGTTATAACCTCAATTTAACAGCTTATAAGGCTCGTGTGATTACAAAACAAGTCCTTGCCTCCTACGGGATAACAGAACATAAAAGTCAGAATAAAATTTAAGTTATTTATGCATAAATTTACATTGCAGAGCTCTACTGTATGTTTTGCCTCAAGCCCTCTAATAACGCAAACAAACTTGGTTAGCGAAAGACAAACTTGGCTAGCGAAAGACAAACTTGGTTAGCGAAAGCTAAAGCCGATTCAAGTAAAGCTAGAATCTGGGTGATTCGGAAAAGATCAGCAATTGCTGCCTAAAACTCTCTTTTAACTTCAAGATGTCTATTCTTATATACTTAACTAATTTGCTTCCTGATGAGAGCTAAGGAAAGTAGAAGTGATAGTAACAATAAGAATAATAAAAAATTCGATTTTTAAAACTTTAAAGCTTACAGATGTTTATCAAAATAATATTCTTCTAACAGTGCCAATGTTAAGTAATTTGTTGGTTGGAGCTGATGAAGGTGAAAGTAAAGATAAAAATAATAAAGTATTGGATTTCCAAACCTTACAAATGTTTATCCTTCTTCCAATAGTGCCAGTGTTGATGCCATTGTAGGTGGATATGATATTCCAAAGGGAACTGAGATAATTGCTAATTTCTGGGCTGTTCATTATGATCCCGAATACTGGGAAGAACCGGAAAAGTTCAAACCAGAAAGATTCCTTATTGAAGAAAGAGAGCTAAGGAAAGTAGAAGTGATAGTAACAATAAGAATAATAAAAAATTCGATTTTTAAAACTTTAAAGCTTACAGATGTTTATCAAAATAATATTCTTCTAACAGTGCCAATGTTAAGTAATTTGTTGGTTGGAGCTGATGAAGGTGAAAGTAAAGATAAAAATAATAAAGTATTGGATTTCCAAACCTTACAAATGTTTATCCTTCTTCCAATAGTGCCAGTGTTGATGCCATTGTAGGTGGATATGATATTCCAAAGGGAACTGAGATAATTGCTAATTTCTGGGCTGTTCATTATGATCCCGAATACTGGGAAGAACCGGAAAAGTTCAAACCAGAAAGATTCCTTATTGAAGAAAGAGAGCTAAGGAAAGTAGAAGTGATAGTAACAATAAGAATAATAAAAAATTCGATTTTTAAAACTTTAAAGCTTACAGATGTTTATCAAAATAATATTCTTCTAACAGTGCCAATGTTAAGTAATTTGTTGGTTGGAGCTGATGAAGGTGAAAGTAAAGATAAAAATAATAAAGTATTGGATTTCCAAACCTTACAAATGTTTATCCTTCTTCCAATAGTGCCAGTGTTGATGCCATTGTAGGTGGATATGATATTCCAAAGGGAACTGAGATAATTGCTAATTTCTGGGCTGTTCATTATGATCCCGAATACTGGGAAGAACCGGAAAAGTTCAAACCAGAAAGATTCCTTATTGAAGAAAATGGGAAGTTAACTACGACTAAGCCTGAAAGTTATATTCCATTTTCAGTCGGTAAGTTGGCTTCTTAATACTTGTACTATAATATGTATTAAGGCAGATGGCGCTAAAATTCTTTCACGTTAATTAAAGTTTATTTTGTGAAAAAATATCTTTAAAATACAAAATAACAAAGATGGGAAAAGTGTAAAAATCTAATTATCTATATTAGCTACTAGAAACTTAAATTATATTACTGCTGGTGTTTCCCGATGTTTTCGGCGAACATCCAATAACATATCGGGTTAAATAGCCTAATGCTGTCATAAGTTGAGTAAGTGGTTGTGTTTGAGGTTGTTGATTCTAAAATATGTTTATGTGTCTTCATGGAATTTGTCTTAGAAGTGAGTGGATCTGCCATTTCTCCGTACGTATCTGTTCTGAAATTGTTCTAGTCACTTTTTTATAGCTTGCTCTAATATTTTCATATTCATTGAGCTTATTTGCTAATTGTGTAGGCAAAATTACCTTCTCTCATTCATCATAAAAATTTCCTTTCTTTTGGTGGTATAATTATGACTTTTAAGTCTCTAAAATCCTTGATCTTTAGCTCATCAACCCATTCTTGGAAATAATTCCTTAATTTAAAAAATATAATCTCGCCATGAATTTTTATGGACTCTTATTGTGTTGAAAAATGTTTTCCAAAACCTTTCAAAGCTCATTATAAATTTCTTAAATAGGTATATACTATATATATATATAATTCTCAAATTTTTCTTAGGATTCCGTTGCTCTGAGTTGCATTAACTCAAGAGTAATAATGTGAGTATACGTAGTCTTTCATATCTATTTGAATCCTTTTCGACTGCTTTCAGAATAACAATAGAGAACAATGTTGCCTACTTTTAAATCGAGTTATAGAAATGTATGCCAACTCTTAAAAATGGATTAGGAATGCTAAACATATGTTGCTATGCAGCTTTTAAAAATTTTGCGTTCCTTTGTTTAACGGTATGTTCGTATATGGCGTAAATGCGAAGAAAACAATGCTTAATAATAAAGCTAAAAAAAGAAAAAAGAAAAAAAAAAAAAAAGGTGGGTTAGCAGGAGTGAGAGCAAGAGCCGATTATTAGGTTGCGAGTTGAAGAACAGCTTAAAAAAACCTTAACAAAATCTTTTAGGTGACCGTTGAAATCTGAAACCTTTCAATCTTCTTTCTAATTTATCCATTTATTATGGTACATCCACTATCAGCAGCAAAATACTTTAAAGAAGAGTGCAATCTGATATTGTTGAAACTTGAATATTTTTATTTTGTTGTTATTTGTAGGTAGACGCAACTGTCCCGGAGAACTGGTTGCTCTTATTGAACTCTTACACTATTTTGTAGTAATCCTGCAGAATTTCAATTTGCTGCCAGAAGCCGATGACAAACCTCCGGATGTAATTGGAGAAGTGGGAATCAGCTATCACAGCAAACCACAGAATCTACGTTTTGTGCCGAGAGATTAAACAATCAAAAAGATGACGGCATCATTTCCATTGAACTGGTTTTCGAAAACAATGCTTTGAAATCGAAGCTCTGATGAATGAATTTCAATTAACTATCTAAGCATATACATATCTTTCATTTTTCTCCGAATCGTATCATCCAACTATAAAATTGTCTAATAAAACATATAGTTGAAAAATGTCAAATTAAAAGTTCGATTAAAAACTGGTTCGTTGAACTGGTTTTCGAAAATAATGTTTTGAAATCAAACTCTGATGAACTCTATCTAAGCATACATACATATATATATAGAGAGAGAAAGAGATTCAGAGAAATGCAAGGTACATATATATATATATATATGTACCTTGCATTTCTCTGAATCATATCATTCAATCATGTCTAATAAAACATACAGGTGAAAAATTTCAAATTAAATTTGGATTAAAAACATTTTAAACTAAAAAAGTAATTTTTTCTTAAAAAAAGAGGTTAAAAGAATAATTATTAAAAACGTCTTCATTTTTACTAGTTTAACATATTTTATTACCAAGGGTATGTTTACCATTTAAGAGTTATTTAATGATAATATGTAAAAACTGATAGTCTTATAACCTTTGCTACTGTTAGTTGCGATAATTCTAGAAAATTCTATAGAATTATCGAAAACATTCAGTGAGAGAACGTCATTGCATATACGTTTTAGTAAATATTTTTATAAATACATTTAAAGTTTTATTACATTTATCTATAGAGAGAAAGACAGATTTATAATAAATTTGTTCTAGTTCAAAGAAAATTTCGTTCTAGTTTCTGGAATTGAATTTACAAATTTACAGCAGTAATTTATTTTCCACTCATTACCAAGGACACATGCATAATTTTCTGTTAGAAATTTTGCAGAAAAATCTGGCCGCGAGTGGGAAACGTGTAGTAATGAATCTGCATTTCCATGAAAAATTGGCAACTCATTGACAACTTTGGAGAAAATTTTTTATTTGGCTATCATTATGGATAGCTGGCATTGTTCTGTTAATAAATAATGATGGAATGAAGTATTTTCTTAAAACCAAGGTATTTTACATTGAGGGGAGAAAACTGTGCAGCCGGAACTTAAATTTCTGAAGCCAGTGAATACTGTTCAGCGAAATGCGATTAAATATAAAGATATAAATCTCCATACACTCAGGCACATGCATAGTATGCGCATCCATGAGCTAGTTGTTACAGAATGTATATTCGAAAATACGACAAAAATTCGGCGGTTTTGCTGTTTATTAAAACGGTGTGTGGGGACACGTGACAGGTGAGAGCAGGTCCAGACACCCAGACGGCTTACATAGACTAATCGAGTATCGTCTGGATCCTGCAACTATCTGAAGCTACACTCCGAAAACAATACAAAGTACTCGTACATGGCCATACAAGGGTAAAATATAGATTTTTCTGCATGCGGAATTAAAAATTTTCCTGGCTACATCGCATGTTAATACATTGCTACACATACTCGCTGCACTATACATTTCATAATATGCATTGCGTTGATCACTGCACAATACTTAAGGCACATTTCCAACTCAATGCTACACTTAATACATACTGAACATTATTCTTGACAATTCAACATAGATTCTTAACAATTCAACATAGATTCTTAACAATTCAACATAGATTCTTAACAATGCAATTGATTAAATAAGACGTAACTTGATTATATAGTACATAACTTAGTTATATAAGACAGACACTTAAATAAATAACTTGATACAACAGATAAATAAATTAAGAGCTCTTAAATAAAGAGCAAAATTGCACATTACAAACAAATTACACATTTGCACACAGAAGTACACGTTGCTTACTTTGCACTGTATTTATCATATACAAAATACAGATTTAAGGACACAGTACAGCCCATATTACTTTTGATTAAATAACATTATGTTAAAAGTTAACTGTGGCATAAATTTTGCTGTATTCTTAAAACATACCAAAAATAACTTTGTAATTAAACGCTCTACTGGTTACATTACAAGTTAACACACTGTGCTATATACAAAACACTCAATACACTAAAATTTTTATAATACATATTACATTGAACACTGCACTCTATTTAGGACACCTTACAAAACTCCTTTCTACACTTAATGCACTGTGTGTATTGGCTACATATTGCATTGAACATTACTCTTGATTAAATACCATAAACACTGGTAGTAACTCTTTGTTATATACAACATAATTCTTAATACAAAAAGTTTTAAAAACCTGTTAGAAATACACATTGAGGGAAACAAATTACAGAATGAAGAATAATACATTCCATACAGATGAATATTCATAATTGCTTTGCTCAATATCTTTCATCACGTTCGTGTGCTAGATACATTAAATACTGTATTTGCCATGCACTATATATTTCATGATATTCACGTTGACACACTGCTACATATAATAAATCACTCAATACACTAAAATTTACAGAATGCAATAATATTTACATACATATAATTACTATAATATTTACATTCTGTGCTCTTGAATACATTAAGTTGTAGTACTACAGTTATAATTACTATGTTTTCTGAGGCTCAAAGCATAGTTCTGCATGCTACAAGCACTTACACTACATATACTTACCGAGCTACTATACACAGTGTGCTATACAATATAACATTCACAATACGCTGTACAATATTCTATTTATAAAATGCACATGCTTACATTATTGCACCTATGTATTAATGTGCTCATTACAAATATACATAATTAAACTATTTACATTTGGATAATATTATATCATATTTACATTTGTTTTTCGTGTTCCCAGCCTAATTTTACTCTGCGTACTAAATCAAGATGGCCTTCTTACATTTGGATAATATTATATCATATTTACATTTGTTTTTCGTGTTCCCAGCCTAATTTTACTCTGCGTACTAAATCAAGATGGCCTTCTTGCAAAGGCCACTGGAAACCAGTGTATATTGATGCTCTGAATCTCTGCGAGATTAAAGTCTGTTATTGTGGACTGCATAAATCTAGTCCTAGTGCTTCAAGTTTGTTCATAATGCTTTTGAGCTTCTTGAGATAGGCCGGCTGCTTACTGAAGAAACGTTTATACGCAATGTCACTATCAGGAAGCCTCATGTCACTATCAGGAAGCCATTCTTCCGTGAGAGGGCAAGACGTAACGTAATGATCAGGTGTACCTACTTCATTACAGACACAATGATCAATTGTTGATATTCCCCTTTGATAGAAATATTGGGGAAATGATCCGTAGCCTGTGATGAAACGCTAAAGAAAAGGGGCTGAGATGAGTCGATCTTGGAAAACTCTATAGGCAAAGTCATGGGTTCTACGGTCTTGCGATATAGATTCCCATTCATCTTGCCATTGTTGCTGAGATTCATTGCCACAGACTCGCTTCAGATAAGATTTGGGAAGCTGGATCTGGACATCTTGCGCACCGATATTCTTTGCAGCTTCCTTTGCGAGAGTGTCTGCATCCTCATTGCCCCTGTGGCCCACGTGCGCTTTAATCCATAAAATTTTGGATGTCGCAGTCATGCACATTTTCTTTGAACAGGTGTTGTATATCTGCTGTGATCGGTGATGGATGGAATGGATCACGAAGAGCGAAGATTGTTGACTGACTATCTAAGAAGATGGAACCTTCTCGGTCAACCAACTTCATAGCTATTGTTATAGCCTGGCGCAATGCTTCTGCTTGGAATACCGATTTATTAATTCCAAGATACCTTTTCCATGTTTCTAAGACTTTATCATGATATTGAGAAATAAAAGCGCATCCTGCCTCTTTGTTGCTTTTTTGAGCCATCAGTGGATATGCTGATGGTATTTGCACCGCCTGTGTCTCTTATCCGTATTCCCTGAGACATAGAGGTATGGGCACGAATGCCCAACCCATAACTAGCGGGATGAACATTGGGCTGAGAATTTTTTTTCTCAAAGTCTAATGGTACAAATGTAGTTCTTCTAAATGAGGCTGACTTCCTAAGAAGCATGTCATTAGAGTCAGTTGCCTCTTGTAGCGCGGCTATTGGCAGACGAGTAAGTCCAGCTAGAACCGATGCCGCTGCTGTGGCCGTTGATGTTTTCGTGATAGCAAGGACGAAAAGTCGTTGGATACTAATAAGTAAACTCAATTTCCTCGCAGACATGGGTAGAAGCCATATGGCTGTCCCATACAAAACTATTTTTTCTACTACTATCTTGTAAATAGTCTTGAGGATGTGGGGTCGTAATCTCCAATCTTTGCCCTGCATATTTTTAATCCTAGTCGCTATTCTTGCGGCTTTGACCCTTTGGGCTTGCAAGTGAGGAATCCAAGTGAAGTTTTCATCCAAGATAAGGGCAAGAAGTTTTAGCTCCTTGACCATCTTGATCGTTACTTCTCTTAGCTTGACGCACGTTCCTTATGATAGTTTGTTTGGGCTTGTGAAATATTATGTATTTAGATTTATCCTGTGATATTTTAAAGTGTTTTTCAGTACAAAGGTTGTCAAAGAGTGAGATAACCTCGTTGCAGTTTTTCTCCAATTCGTCCCTGCTGTGGCCTCGAACGATGAAAGTGGCATCATCTGCAAAGGCTACTGTCTTTGTATGCGGCGGGCAACGCTCATTCAGTATAGAATTAAATGTGACATTCCAGAGACCTGGTCCAGCGCATGACCCCTGTCGACAGCCTCATATTTGCTTTTTCTTCACTATGCCGCCATTATAGACCACGGTAAAAATTCGGTCGCTGAGATAACTTTTAATTACTTGTAGAAGATTATTAGGCACGCTTGCCGCATGTAGAGCTTCAATGATGGCAGGCCACCACAGAGAGTCAAACGCATTCTGTAAGTCAAGGATGACGATGGTCGCATGCTTGTTATCTCCTTTGATCTTTTGAACTTCATCTTTAACAATGTCAAGAGCGTTAAGAGTGGAACGGTTCTCCCTAAAGCCAAACTGCGCCTCTGAGATGTGGCCAGTAAAAGATAAATGATGCTTGATCCTGAGTATTGTCATCTTTTCATAAATTTTGACATGTGACAGCACAATCCGGACACTCGGGTGGGTCTCACAGACTATTCGGGTGTAGTCCATACTCCGCAACTGTCTAAGGCTACACCCTCCTGGCGCCCCACGAGGACCATATCCGGAGTTTATTGGAAAAAAGAAATGAAAGTGGGATGACATGGCTTTACAGCGGCTACTACTTTACATCTGCCCTGTACAATACAGTTG